CCTGGATGCAAAATGTGTACTGACCCTGCATTTGTAGGAATATCCTCAGAGTTTAAGCAATTTCAGTTTTCAGGTATGTTTTCAGGTGGCAGCCAGTCACAACAGGCCCATATTTAGTTACAAGTCCGACTGACTAAGGCACTCGCCGAATGAACTCTAACAGAATTAGGTTGGATTAACTTGTCATTATCTACAGCGGACTAAAGGCCAAAGTCCAGCTCTGCTTGAATGTGTCTGAAAAAGAAAACAGTAAAGATGATGCATGATAAGAAGTTTGCTCAATATATTCAACTCAGAAAGCCATTAAAGGAATACTTCATTTACAAAACAATCATTTATGTTTCTGTTTGTCATGCCGTGTTACTTTGAATTCATAAAGAAAACCCTGTTTTTCTCATACAGTTCAAAATCTAAAAAATGAGCTATGCTTTCTAGCTCCCGTTCAGAGAGAGCTGAAGGCAAGGAAATCCAATGTATTGGGAAGCATTGAGGATATGACTGAATACATGAGACTGGGAGTATACTGTTAGAGTTGTGTGAGAGCTTGTAAACAGATGTTTTGATATAGTTTTGCTATTGATAATAAACAATGTTTGGCATTTTGGATTCTTTTTTCATGGATTCAAGGTAACTAGATGAATAATTGATATATAGAGTCATTCATATTTTTGGCAAATATTTTGTACCACTTTTTGTTTGTAAAATTCAAGGTCTAGACACCCAGGACCAGATGTGGTCCGAACGATCCAGCGCATTCTGATCAGAATGCGCTCTACATACAGTTACACCTTAGATCAAAATTTTTCCTTCTCCTGATATCAAGGTTCAAATCACATGGTAAAGCCAGGTGGAAATGGGGTCTGTGTGAATGCAGAACTGTTTCTGCTTATTAAAAAACAAGGACTACGGCTGCATTTCATTCGTCGCTCAACATTCTGCCTCCTGACCCACAATGTGTTGCAGTAATGTTGGATGTGCACAGCGCCTTTCTATTCTTCTGGCCACTCAAATTGCTTCAATGCTACATGTCACATTCACTCATTCAAATACGCATTCATAGTCAGGTGGCAGAGGCTACCATACAAGGTGCCACCTGCTTGTCAAGTCAAACATTCACACGCATTCACACACTGATGGCACAGAAAATGAATACATAAATTAAATCATTAATAAAATTAAAAGTCGATAAATTCACTTATACTCTTACATGCTTTTAAGTTTCACTGGTACTGTTATATCTGTAAAGATTCACTAGTTAGCAGAACATCTTATTGAGAGCTTAATATTTTACCGAAAAGAGACATAGAACTAATTGCAGTTGTATTTACTTTGACTAGGGATCAGCAACCTTTACCATCAAAAAGAGACATTTTTAGCCTTTTTTTTTTAAATTTGTCTAGAGCCACAATACTTGTGCTTTATAATAAAGGTAACACAGCCTATTAGATCTAAATTAGCCTATGAGTATTAAGAGTTCTAAGTTCATTCACATGTTTGAGCACAAGGTGACTACTCTGCTGCAGTGGGCTAAAACTGTATAAAGAAAGGTGCGTTTCTTTTAAACCCCCGCTCCTCCCCCACCCGCCGTCCCTCTGCTCTCCAAGTGGTCTCTCTGCGACCTTTGCTGTTACGTAATACCACGGGCCGAGGGGGGGAAGTAACTCGCAGCTCAGTTTTCACAGAAAAACCCTGAAGAACCGTCAGCTGCGTGGAGCTTACATCTTAAACCCACTGGGTGGCGCGGTTGGCCATTTTCTTAACACAACACTAGGCGTAAACAAGGGCAGCGATACGCACTCACAGGATGAACCACGGAGTGATATTAAAACGGGGGTTTAAACAGTAGAATCCCGTTTAGGCTATACCAAAACAGATGCCCCACAATTCAACACCAATCAAAACTTTTTTAAAAAAAAATCAACCATTTCCTTTCTTATACAAAATGAATTCTGCACCCATGTTGCCAACTCTCAGTCAGTTTATCTAATTATTCCCACAATCTTGCAACAACTAGTCTAGGCTACTTCTACAACTCCTAATAGGCCTACGTTTAATAATAATAAGCTAAAATGAGCAATTATCGTCACAAAAACAACAACAACAACAACAACAATAACAGAAATCATTATAACTACCGTCCAATGGGCTGATCCTCTCACAGGTTGTAATATCGCGGAGACTGAGGTCCTCCTTGTTATTGGAAACTAACGTGAGAGCTAATCAACAGCAACGGCATCGCTTAGACTCACCGCACTGTGCCTGAACCGCTCTCTTTAAAGATAACCGGGACAGCCTGTCTGACTTAAGTTTCGTTTCCCATACTATGCGTCACCATCATCAGGTCAAACTGATAGGCATGCGCTCTATACCGTTATCTCTCTTCCTCATTTCAACGATACTGCGTTGTAAAGCTACATCCACCACTTCATGTGAAACATTCAAGATGTCCCTGTACTACAGGAGTCATTTATTATTGACACATATTGTTATCAAGCCCTGATTAAATGAATTATATTTCATCAGTGGGGAAAAACAACATCTTGACATTCGGGTCGAGACTGCACGTTTTCATACATTTGTTTCAACTTGTTTCATTTTCTTGATACTAATGCAGTGATCTTAGAAATGTAAGTTTCTACTGGAAAAGTTAAATCTGTAAGCCAGGCCAGTAGTTAGGAAATTTTTGGATTGTTTATTCATTTAACCTTGAGGACTACTTCAAACAAATATTGGTCACAGAACTGAAATAGTATGAAGAGTATATGGTTGTCAATTGTCAATTTTCCAGTCATACCCATCTATTCATCCATCCAAAGTTTTAATTTAAGTCTGTTATAAACAGACCAGCTGAACATGTTCTTGCCTGACAGTTTTTCTGATCACTGAGATAATGCTGATTTGACATAAAGTAAAAAATAAATAAATAAATTAAAGTAACTTTGCAATTAGCATACTACTGTTGCCAGCTTCATTTCTCCAGAGATAGCTTCAATAGTGAAGCTTTATTATTATTATTGTTATATACACCGGTATGCATAAATATTTAATTAAATACACCATTTTGAAAAATGGCAATGTTCCCTTTACCCTCACCAAAATTTAGTGTAACTTTGGAGTGTTATTTGGTTGGTACTAATGGATACCTTGTGTTCCCCAGTTCAATATGATACCTGTGTAGTCACTGGAGCTTTAAAACTAAGCACAATATACATATTTTACTATTATGAGAAGTAAATAAAGTATGTAAATCAGGGTTTAAGGTCTTCACTTTATAACCCTAACAAAACAAACAGTACCTATTCTCAGCTATCATCCTCCTCCACACCACTCACCTCCAGTCTCCATCACAACCAGCACCCATGGCAGGGGCAGCAGGCTGAGCAAAGTACTTTAGATGTCCCCATCCCCAGCAACACTTTCCAGCTCCTCCTGGGAGACACCAAGGCGTTCCCAGGGCAGATGAGATATATAATCCATCCAGAGTGTTCTGGGTCTACCCCAGAGTCTCCCACCAGTTGGTTGTTCCTGGAACACCTCTAACAGGAGGCACCCAGGAGGTTCCTGATCATATGCCTGAATCACATCAACTGGCCCCTTTCAATGCGAAGGAGCAGTGTCTCTACTCAGAGCTCCCCACAGATGTCCCAGTTCCTCACTCTATCTCTAAGGCTGAGCCCAGCCACCCTACAGAGGAAACTCATTTCGGCTGATGGTATCCACAATCTCATTCTTTCGGTCACTACCCAGAGCTCATGACCATATGTGAGGGTTGGGACGTAGATGGAACAGTAAATCAAAAGCTTCTCCTTCCAGTTCAGCTCCCTCTTCACCACAAGAGTCCATGAGTATCCCACAGAATCAGAGACAAGGGACAATCTTGGTGGAGGCCCACACCCACTGATTGCAATTACATCCATGGTCATCATAAATCCTAATGCATGATAATCATACATTTTTATGCTAAATGTTAGCATGTAATCATGCTTAGAAACATGGTAACATGGTAACTGTTGAATGCTGCACATTAGCTTGTAACCCCCAATAGTTGTTAGAAGGTATGTTAGCACTTTAAAATTAGCATTGGGTGTGATCAGGGTTGTTTTCTCAGACTTTAGGGCGCTCCTTCAGAGCCACATAAGACTATAGACAATTTTTTTATAAGCTCAGTTCAGTGTATTTTAACCCTGGGCCTTATCATTCCAGTTTTGGCACCATGACAACTTAACTTAAAGGTCCCATATTGTAAAAAGTCAGATTTCCATCTCTGTTTTTATTATAAAGCAGGTGTTTAGCAAGTGCTAAATACTGTGAAAGTATCAAGACGCACAATGCACAGAGAAATGCACACAGTCCGTATTCAGAAACTCTGGCATTGAATGAGCTGTCAAGACTTCCATAAGGGTGTGATGTCACAGCTGTACTATATAACCGTAGATATAACTGGTGCTACAGGGCCATTACGGTTAATTTCTGGCTGTGGTGACAATGCAGAGACACTGAGAGCACAGATGTGGAAGACCTGGAAATGCTGGCCAGTCTGTGCAGACTGGACTTTTTCAGGAGGGGGGGGGGGGGGCTTACAGAGACATGCTGCTAAAATGTAGCGTTTCAGACAAAGGGTGAATACAGGTGTTTCAGCAGTGACAGGATGAGGACATTAAAGAGTTAAAGAGTTTCTTACATTAAATGTTCTAGTAGAAACCCAAAATACAAGTATGAACCTGAAAATGAGCAGAATATGGGTCCTTTAAAATTTGGTTTAAGAGCTTTAAGTTGCTCCATGGTTTCAAGTCTTCAGGCTGAAACGAAATTCCACCAAGGGCCCTAAAACACTCAGTACAGTCTTGCAGGAGTCATGACAAACTCTCAGTAAATTAATTATCTTTGTTAGACAGGTCACCTTCAGTTAGCATTATTTTTAGCTGAACCTCTTTTTATTTAGAGACTATTGTCACCTGACACTTCCTCTCACTTTCAAGACAAACCCAACACAGACCTCATCTGGCTCAGGATTGGACTTTATTTCAGTTGTACTTGACTTCAACTTGAGAATATCAGAATATGTATCTGCACTTCCAAATGTGTGTGGTTTACCAAAACTGAAAGAGATGAGTAACAATATTGGGTGCTGATTAACTAGTCTGAGTCCTGAAAGGTGCACTGTAGGATGAGGTCGGTGAGTACAGAACAACAGGAGAACTTTGACACACTAATGAGTTTCACAAGTAACATCCACCGTGTTCAGCCGGAGAGATCAGCCTGAAGTTCCTTGTTCCTGCGCACTTCAGCAGCGTGGACTTCCTGTGAAATAAAGTAATAAATCGTCACACAGGCATGACGCAAAATGAAACTTACTGAGAAAGAATGACAGAGGGAGGGGCTTCTGTGGAACATGAAACTTAGAGACACAACATTGTTTTTTTAATCTCTGACAGCCAGAAAAACACTGAGCTTTTGAAACTTCCTGGAGAGGTTGCCAGAAAGTTTACATAAGATACACAAATTGTGTTTCAGGAAACCTTAAGCCATGTTTAATGTGCGTTTTGAATCAACTAAACGTTACAGCACTTCACACAAACCCCACCTGCCCCTATGGCATAGGCATATATGTATAAATCTGCCTTAATTTGGGTCCTAGGCCTTTTTTGGGGTATTTTTACTGCCTTTACTTTTAAGCTCATATCACAGTCATTATAAAGGCTACATACACATGCTATATCTTGTTTTTTTCAGGACAATATGGGCTATCCAGATTTTTGTCCTTCTATGTGCCTGTATTTTATATTAATTTTTATGTAAATGAAAACAATAAATCCATGTTACTAAATTCTTACATTCTTACATGTATCTCAGCATAGCAAGTTGGAAGTTGACATATTCTGCCATATATGAAGAGGGGAGACTCTCTGGAATCTGGCAATATAAGAATCATGATGCTGGGACATTCTGTCACTTCACAGCTGTCCAAAACATGTGGTTTGTGCCAGGTGGACATGATTGCCAGTATTTTTTCATTATTGCAAGAAATTCCATTGACTCATTCACAAGTCAAAAATGTGTTTTATCTGAAAGAAACATGCAATATTTACATCTAAGATGATAGAAGAATAGTCAACCAAGTGCAATGATGTCCTCCAAGATAATATTTGCCACTTTGTTTGCAGTAAAAAAAAACATTCTGGACGTTTTCTTGTCGACATGATCTTGACTTACTTCTCTGTGCTCCGTGCTGCTCTTTGACCTGACCTGAACGTTTTTTTGTTGTTGTTTTTCAGTTTCAGTTATATATTGGGGGGACATTTTGGGCATTTGGGGGGGGGGGTTATTTTGTAGACAGTTGATCTGTATTTGTAGCGTGATGGGATGACAGCACAATGATGTGTGTGGTATCACTGGAAAGCTCTGGTCCTGCTTTTTCATGTGATATGCGTGGCATTTCTGTGCGAGCCTGCATTCACGAGTAATCCATCCAAGAGTAATGTGTGTGCAGAGCTGTATGAAAGCTTTGTTATACATCATTTTAGTGTAACAAAGAACTGAAAGTAGCAAAAAATCTAAACACTCAAGTAAGTTTATTCACTGTACTTTAAATTCATATACATATATATATATATATATTTTAGATTATATTTAATTTATTCAAATCCTAATTTTCATTTTACAGATCCATTTTGGCCTATTGTGTGCTGCTTAAGCAGGTGACGGTTTAGGCCAAGAAGCTCATCTAATCATCTTCATAGGGAACCAGTCATTTACCACCTGCTTTACAAAGATTTGAACATAGATTAAAGATGTAATTTTTGCCCCACCAATATGTACACTGGACATACAAAGATAAAATTTGCAAAGGTGATTTTTGTAACAATTTTTTCCCCCCAATAGATACAAATAGAATCCAAGAAGGACACTGGGCAGTCAGTAAAAATAATCTAATAAAACCACGAAAGGCATAGAAGACAGTGCAGTGAAAAAACAATAAAGGGGGAAAATATATTCATATACAAGTCAAGAAATACATCATGAATTAAATGTAATGATAATTTCCTTTTAAAATTTTCTAAGGATAAAGAGCTCTTGACAACATGTATTTTGGTGTTCCAAATCTGTGTATCACAATATCTGTTGGATTAGGGTGCAATTGGCTTCACTATCTGTTGGGTTTAATAGATTAAGTTGGATGATATACTGCATCACAGGGACGCTTCATATCTTCAGAAGCAAACTTGGTTACACTGGTCTCCTGCCACACCCACTTTAACTGTGGTGTATTTTTTGGCTTCCTGCGATTTTGTGATAGGAGCACATTTCATGAGAAGTGAAACAGAATCTGCAAGCGGTGACAGAGTCAGTGGATAAGACTAGCTGAGACTGGTTTTATTTTGACATCATTTGGTGTACTGCGCAGTAAAGGTGTGTGTGTGTGTGTGTGTGTGTGGGAGGGTTGGATTTAAAGGGACATTGTGTAACATTTTCAGTTGTTTATTGGCAAAAATTCATGTCTGTATTCATAAATATGTCATCACTGGTGTACTATTACCTCCACCAATAATCTGACTTATTCTCGTAAAAGGAGAATTTCAGATTTGTTTGTACATTGTGCGGGTAAGTCGTCTGTGGGGTTCCATTACGTTTCGCCATCTTGAGAATACACCCGCCAGCAAGGGACGTACAACACCGCCTTCGGCGTTTTCACTGAGAGCCAGGCCAGCACTGCGTGACTGAGGAGCCGAAGGAGAGGAGCAAGAGGCACTTCACTACTACCCTGGCAAATTTGAAACAAAGTCCCACTCTTTGAGCATAATGCAGGATCATGCATATGCAGCATCATGGGAGATGGAATCCTTGTTGGTTGCCAAGAAAACGCAAAAGGGAATAGAAAAGGCAGCGTGACCGGCGAATTAAAAAAACGACGGCCCACATCGGGGTAGCCTTTCCCAGGTAGAGAGAGCTGCTGAGGGAGAATGGTAATGCAATCACAGGCCAGCGCTGCTGTTGGCTGTTAGCCGCTGTTAGCGGCCAGTCGCTAACAGCCTCATCCTTCTCCTTGCATCACTGCGCCGCTGTTAGCCGCTGTTAGTGCTGGCCTGTGATTGTATTACCTTTCTCCTTCAGCAGCTCTCTCCACCTGGGAAAGGCAACCCCAATGCTGACCCTTGTTTTTTTAATTTGCCGGTCACGCTGCCTTTTTGATTCCCTTTTGCACTTTCTTGGCGACGAGGATTCCGTCTCCCGTGATGCTGCATAATACATGATCCTGCATTATGCTCAAAGAGTGGGACTTTGTTATGCGGCAGTAGTGCCACTGGCCACTAACAGCTGTTAGCAACGCAAGGAGAGGGATGAGGTGTGTGAGGTTGAGCCACTTGTCAGTTGTCAAAGGACAAGACGTGATTGGTTTGTTTCAATTTACATCCGCCCCAACAGTCCTACGTTGTAAACACAACAAGCATGGTGAGGAAGGGGTTTGTCAACTCGTGTCACGTGTGTCTGTGTAGGAGCCTGAATGAATACTCCATGTAGTATCGGATGACATGGTTTCATCAGTGTTATCATAGCTTTTTGGTACACAGTGGCTACAGTTGTTGCAATACGTGTTTGAAACAGTGAGGCGCTAGAGTGCGCCATCTGTTTGAATGCAATATATGATTTCAACATTAGATGGGAGAAATTCCTACACGCTATGGCTTTAAGACTGGTTATGACTAACTTTAACCTCAACAAAAACTGTCTGATGTAATCCTACATTGAAGTTACATTCAGCCCTTAAGAGTTCCATTAAATCCAACCCATTTTGTTGGAACGAAAGCTTATTTGCTTTCTTGCTGAGATAATTTCAAACACAAGCACACAAATTAGCTTCACTATAACTCACAGGATTCACAGACAAAACACTTGCTGAACACATTTTCCCTACAAACACATCATGCTAATATTTCTAGCATAAGTCTATGGCATTTTACATTGTATAAATTAGCCTATCGGCTAGTGGAATTTTCTTCTACTCATATAAAACCAGGGACAACAGCAACATTTAACTAAGGTAATGTTACAAAATCTGGCTCCATTACAACTCAAAAGGTTCACTGACAAATCAACTGTCTTATACAAAACACATTTTCCAAACAAATATAACATGCTAACATTATTAGCACAAGCCTATGGCATTTTACATTGTATAATTTAGCCTGGCAACAAGCAGAGATTTCCACTACTCATATGAAGCCAGGATAAATCACATACAGGACTTAAAATGCTATTTTGTGGGGGCTTCATTGTCTTTACAATTTATTGTTTCTTATATGTGAAATAAAAAAAAGCTTGGTCTACGTTGCATGATGTTTAATGACATTTCTAGGGAGGTGCACATCAGGCTATGGCGTAGGTACAGCAGTGATTCGAAGCAGAAGTATAAATCCCACTTTAGATGAGAAAATTGATACCTCTCACATGTCTGAATGCTAAATATAAGGCTACAGCCAGCAGCTGGCTAACCTAGCTTATTAAAAGTGTTATATTTAACATACAATCATATTTGTGGTATCATTTTTCTTTTCTAAATCTCTTTATCAGCCTTCTCATGTAAATCCTTTGGCCTTTTCCTTTAAAGAAATGTAATGCAACATTTTTACCTTAAAATAACAGCTCCTAAATTCTTTTGATGGTTCACTAACTTGCAATAGGGAGAACAGTGCCTCTGTCACTACCACTTCCTGTTCCTGCACTGTGTAACTTTGGTGAGCAGGTCAGATCATCAAAGTGGAAAGCTTTACAGCACCAGCTAACTCGGCTGTTTGGCACTGAGTTTTGTTTTGTTTTGTCAGTGCTTCATCTGTATGTGTGTGATTTTGATGTTTTCTTTTGATACTAGGACGATTCGATATAGTTTTTCTTTTTTTTAAAAAAGAAGCTAGCTCAATATTCTCAGTATGGATATTATTAATCAATTAGACCAAAGAGGATGTTTATGAGGAAGGAAAGAAGAGAAAAGAATGACAGAGCAAGAGGTCAGACAAGAGTCAACCAACAAACAAATTGTTTATACTGTCCTGACATAAGCTGTAGTGATCCGTCTCATGGCTGATGGAAAAACGACAACAATCTGACGGCCAATTGTACACCCCAGGCCTCCAGGAAATGCGCTGGGTTTTGAAGCTAATTTTGTAGTGGCCAAACAGTGGTACTGAAACTTCCAGGGTCTGTCACGTGATGCCAATGGGCCCAAAAAGACTTTTCCCCGTAAAATTACATTGTGAAAGAGAGATTTGTAAATCAGTGGACACATTTTTTGAGCATCAGAACCACTGTGAAATGAGTCGTTCCTAATGTTTAGCAGCCCTGACGTTACTAACCTAACTATATTTCTCAGTAGCACAGTACACAGTACATTTCTCCCAGGAAAAGCTCTGAAGTGCAACAGACTTTTTTCTGTGGAGGTCTGGATAAAAGTAAGTAATGTGACTGATTCCAGCACCACACCGAGGCATGGTCAACACTTCCATGTTATATCATATGCTAATCCTTCAGTTTATTCTGCTCGCTGCTTCGCTATTGGCTATTTCTTGGCAAGAACTGCCCAGCTGTCTCTGATTGGCTACATTGAATTTCTTGACGCATCTCTCACGTGTCTTGTCCATGGGCTGTATATATTGTGGATTTGCAGTGGACGCTAGAGAAATGAGAGATTGTGACAGATTGGAGAGAGTGACATAATGATTTGTTCATGTTCCAAAAAAAGAAAAGTTTCATTTAGATCTGTTATTTTTATTGTTTATACAACTGTCTTTTATTTATTATGGTTTTATTGACTGAAAAATATATTTTGGAATTTTGTTTTTGAATTACTGACAGAGCCAGAGAGGCCAAGACAGAGAAATGCATTAAGTAGGAAGAGGAGAGAGAAAGACAGAGAGAGCAATAGGCCGACTGATAATGACGTTATTAGAGGACATGGTCAAATGTCACCAAGTCTTAAAAAAAAATAAATACAAAAATAAAAAAGTTTTAATTTAAGTCTGTTATACACAGACCAACTGAACATTTTCCTGCCTGCCTATTTGTTTGGCTGACAGTTTTTCTTATCACTGAGATAAGTCTGATTTGACATAAAGTAGAACAAAATAGAATAAAAGTAACTTTGCAAGTAGCATACTATTGTTTCCATTTTCTCATAGCTTGACCTGCTACATTTATCTGGGGATAGCTTCAATGTAGTGGAACTTATTTTGATGTAGTAACATTTTCCAAGTAGCTTGCCCAACACTGCTCATCCCACTATCAAGATTAAATCCCCTGAGTCTGTAAACATTAGAAAAGTCTGAAAGTGCTGCAAGATGAAATTATTTTATCCCCATTCAAGTTAGCAGAGCAGGCGCACTCAGGCACGCTTGGAGGTGCTCGGCGGCGGTAAGACTCTAGTGCACCTACTCTAAGGGCCCGGTGATGATGAATCATCAGGTAATTTTATACTGCAGAAATAGAGTTTTTGTGGCCTAATGCTCCACTGAGCAACTTTCGTAGGAATGAATGGGGCCCTGCCACCGATGCTGTATCCAGGTCTCTTTATACATCCTCAGTGTAGCAAAAAGGGGAAAAGCAAAGCAAAAAGACAGAACAGCCATTTCCAATCCTGACAGGAGAGGAAGGTGGAGAGCGAGAGGAGTGAGAGGAGATAAATTAGGCACACCTGTGAGATGAGGGAAGGGGGAAATCAACAAACAAAGTGCATGAAGGAGAACAGAGAGGAGTGAGAGTTGCTCAAGGGGCAGAAATTCAAAGTTTACTTCAGTTATGGACATCTTTGCGCAAAACCCTTAAAGGGAAAAACATAAAGTCAACAGTAAAGTGAGCAGTGGTCAAAACAAGGACCAGCTAGACAGCGTAACGTTCTGGATAACAAAGCTTCTTGAAGAAGTGTGCTGATCCCTGTGAGCAGGTGGGATGAAAGGACTCTCATCTAATTCTGAAACCTGTTTATATGCACCAGTGGACTTCTTTGCTGTGGCCATCAGAAAAGTTCTCCTACACTGCCCTCTCCCAGCTTCTCCCAAATTCACATTACACCTCCTCAGCCATACCCCCCCACAGACAAACTCCCCACACATGCTATACTGAACTTGATTGAACTGCATTCATTTTTTTGCACAGCCAAAGCCATTAAGACACAATCCTTGATCTAAATGTAAATGTAGTTTTTGTTTTATTGTGGAGTTTTGTATTATATATTGTATTTGATGTATTTTAATGTGTTTTGATTGGCTCCGACCTTGACCAGGCCTATCTTGTAAAAGATATTTTCAATCTCAATGTGACTTCCTGGTTAAATAAAGGTTAAATAAAATAAAATAAGGTAGAAGGGTTAGAAATGACTTAAATTAGTTTATATTACCATATGTGTGAACACTTATAATTCATTTGCTAAAAATTGCTACTGTGTCTAATTTGTGTGGATGTTACATATCCAAATTTTGAGGAAAAACATAACTGTCAGATGTTTTTCATACCCACTATCAGATAATGTTAGTTTGTGTTGCTTGTGAGACTATAAAACTAAAGCAGACCTTGTTGGGAAAGAAAATAGTGCCCTCCTGGCCTTGACAAAATAACATTAGTATTAATTTACAAATGTATCACAGAATGGGAAGACTTGCTTTCTCACGCAGCCTTTGTTTAAGAGCATTGAGGTAGGCCTCCCGGTTCTCCTTGGTGGCCTCCATCTTTTGGATGAGCTTCTCCTCCGTCCTCTTACTAAAGATGTTGTTCTCCTCGCGAGCTTTGTGGAGAACCTCCTGCTCGTGCTCCCTCTTCTCCGCCAGCTGCTTCAGCACCAGGGCCTCCTGGGACTACAGCAGGGTGGGCAGAGGTGGGGGGTATAGATTTTGGGGACAGACAAATAAGGTGCTTATTATTAATGATGATATTGATTATGGCAATGTATGGTGAAGTTGGCAGGGATTAAAAAAAAGCAGGTTCCACCACTGAATTGCTTAATATTGTTCTGAAATAAAAACATGACACCCTCTGAAGTTTCTAACAGTAAGTCCCTATATCTACTATTTGCTCCAATGAGTCACATGCCCTTTAGATCAGAGAAACAGGTTTTACTTGCAATGTGGTTTACAGCACAATCTTTTCAGTGCCATTCAGTGTCAGTAACACAGAGCATTCTTGTGTTTATTGTTATGTGTTTTGGAGGACCAAACATATGGTTGTGGTGGTATGTATCAGTTGTGCTTAATTGGTACCCCAAGTTGTAGACCAACTTGAAAAAGTCTACAACCACCCCTTATAACTGTAATCTTGCAAACCCTATTAATTGTGTCACCCTGAAAATTATTTTGCAGGCTATTCTCACAAATTTTTCATGTTTTCCTACGAACAGCAGTGCACCCAAATTCATACATATCTCATGTATTTTGAAAGGCTGCAATCACGTGACCAATGCACTGACAAGAGATAACAAGGAAGCAGTCCAGAGCAGTCTTGTAAAGAGGCAGGTTAGGGTGGTGGATGCGTTACAAAAACCCAGACTTTCCCCTGGACTTACGTGTTTGTAAGTTTGCGTTAATTACGTAACTGTGTGTTAAGGATGTAAGTTCATTCGTGGGGTGCTAATTTGTAGGAGATACAATAGGATAGGCAGCAGTTCAGCCCATAGGGACTTGACTTGGGAACCAGAAGGTCACGTTCAAGTCTACGTACAGACCAAATATGGAGCGTGGACTGGTAGCTAGAGAGGTGCCAATTCACCTCCTGGGCACTGCCACGGTGCCCTTGAGCAAGACTTATTTATTTTCATACATAAAGTGAGAATAAATGAGTCTTAACACTTCCTTGTGCCAGGGTGCATGTGTTCACACTCTCTTTTCCCCGTTTCTTGTATTTGCACTGTAAAGTCTTTACTCCCATCCTTTCTTATGCTCACATCCAGTAATCAGTCTGAAGAGCTATCACAGAAAACTGGGGAAGCCTACAGCTAAAAGATAGCAGGTCTTAGAAAGATGAGCTGAATGGAAGACCACACCAGGGCTCATTCCTTTGCAGCAGGATTAGAGTTGTTTGAGGTTAACTGATCTGAAGGGAGGTGAGGTAGTGGCTTAGCTGGGACTTTACATTGTCTGGAACTGGTCTTCATTGTACAAGTCTGTACATTCAGCAAACCTGTTTGTTCAGCATCATTGTCTGCAGGAACTGTATAGTGTTCAAAGGAGCTGTACTATATGTCCAGTGCTGCTTTACAACTGACTCACTCATAAATTGAGAAAGAGGTGCTGACTCTCATCCCAACCCCTTTACACTCAGCTGCAAACCGCCCCAGTGCGTGCTGGATGTCACAGAGTGATGGAAGCCAACAGAACCACATCATCTGCAAAAAGTAAAGACGCAATTCTGAAGTCAAACTGGACCCCTTCATCCTCCCGGCTGCACTTTGGGAACCTGTCCATGAATATCACAAACAGAATCGGAGACAAGGGACAACCCTGGCAGAGGGTAACTGAGCATTTTTGGACATACACTTATATGCTTTTATTCTGACTGTGAGATGAACAGATGGTTATTAATCTCATGTCTGTGCATTAAATTTCTCATCATTCTCACTTGGGAGTTATCACACATAGATACCCCCACTGTTAGCCCTAAGGCTCAATTATACTCCCTTTGCATATGAAAATAGATAAGTCTGTTGTAAACATCACTGCTCTCATACTACAAGATCATAATAAAGTACCTTTTAACAGAGGCAGAGCTGTAGACAGTGGTGGTTTGTGTGGCCATTAAATACATCAGGACATGTGGAAGGAGAATTCTTTTCTCTACTACACTACACTGCCTCTGTGATCTCTGGTGGTACTGCTCCGTTTTGTCCATATACGCATCCGTAACCTTATACTTATTTTTTCATAGATCAGTTTGTATGATATGCTATTAAAAATGCAGGCACCACAGTTCATATGATATCCTATGAATTAGTGCCCCGTGAATGGCATCATGAACTTAAGGCAAGGAAAGTTACTGTGGTTGGGTTTAGGAAAAGAAACATGGTGCAGATGTACCTTAAAATGACTCAAAGTTCACTCAGAATTCACACGGTTATGAACACGCAAGTCCAGGGGAAAGTCTAGGTTTTTGTGACCCATCCACAACACTACATTGCCTCCACAATCTCCAGTGTTAATCTATTTTGTCCATATTTGTAGGTTTCCAGAAAATGTGCACAAATACAAATGAAAGGAATGCAGAGTATGGACAGAAGGCTCAGTCTATCTCCATATCTAACATAAGTAAACATAAATGAGCCCTTAATCCTGTATAAATGAGCAACTTTTTAAAAATGTATTTTGACAACGCTGTCTCATACATAAACAACAGAATAGGCTGATTTTCACTGAATTCTCAACTTATATGATTGGCCCCAAAAATATATAGGCTACCTTTCAAACACATCCTTAACATCATGAAACAGTCACAGTACCTCTCCAAAACTACCTAGTTGGGTTTAGGGAGTGGTGTGGTGTTAGTTGATGATGTACTAGGTAGATGGGTAGGTTACCGAGGAGAAAGTGGGTATATTCTCCTCCTATATTTTCCATTTGCTTTTTGACTAATAGGTGGGTGTCTTGCAAAAGGGAAGAAAAAGTGATGGGTATACTCCGTTTACCTGCCTATACCCTTCACTACACCATTTGGTTTAGGCAACAAAACTATGTAGTTAGGTTTAGGATAAACATGTACTTTTGTCACTAACATAATGTAAAGTATGTTAGTAACGCATACGACACAACACATACATCACTAGTGTAGCATGCTACACCACCATACTAGGTTACATTATCAGTGAAAGAAGTCAACTTTGACTTTGGGGCATGAACACTGGTCTCCTGGGTGAAAGCTATGTGCTTGTTTGACCCATCAACCACGCCTCCCACCCACCAGATGCTTATTTCAGTATTTGTACAACGTTATGCGGACTTTTTCGCTTTTTATGCTATGTCATGTCACTTCCTCCTCTGCTCCTGCTCCAGGGAACTGGGAAGCGCTTCATCCCAGCGCTTCAAACAAACAAACAAACAAAAAAAAAAAAAACGCTGGTGGTGCCTTTTTTAATGACGTGCTGCACTTGGGTTTTGTTTATATGACAACAATATCTTGACATTAACATTAGCCAGGTAGCTGACACAGTGCTTCATTAACAGAGGGTTGACTCAGTTAACTTCAAGCTTACAAAGCTAATAGTGATAAAAGCACATCACTCATTGGTAACATCCAGTGTCTGCCAGTCGATCTTCTCCCAAAAAATAAGCTTTTCTGTCTTTGTTGTGACAGAAGACAGTAGCCTAAAGAAGCAGCAGTGATGGCACTGGCACCTTTCTGAAAAGCTTACAGTGGCGGCACAAAAAAGGCGGAGCACTCTGAATAAAAAATGTTGGGCACGGCACTTTTGCTTCAGGTGGCTGCATATGCCCGCTCCTCATAGAGAACAACTGAAAAATGCTATTTGGACACAGGCCCTTACATCCTTTAGTGGGAAATATTTCTTGGTGAGCAATGGCCAGACTTAGTGACTTGCTGGAGTCTTGTTGCCAGGTTTGGTTTCTCCATATAAACAAGAAAACCATCACCTGCGTTCACTGTATCTAGCAACCTGCAATTCAACATTTATCACATGGATGATACAATGGCTGAACTGGATTTGATTTCACCAGTGAGAAAACAAGTAAGAAGATAACTTTTTGCTTATTTATTTAATCACATAAATAAATATTATATTATTATTAACTTTTTAAGATCTTGAGAATGACAAGACTTCAGTTAGGGTTTGATACCAATACCAATACCAAATGAAGAATGAAAAAATGAAAAATAGAATCAGTAGAGTGGGAAAAGGCACAGAAAATTCTAAACTGAGACATAAGGAGTTTATTGTGCTTAATGTGTCCCAGTGCAGATGAATCGCTTTTGAAGTCAATTACAAAATCAAAGGATTATCAATGGTACTTTAACATGACACCATGCTGTGATGACATATCTGCTCACCTTCCTCCTCTCCTCAGCAGCCTCCAGCCTCTTCTGGAGTTCCTCCAGGGACATCTCCCTCCTCTGGGGAGAGGACAGTGGCTGGTGCTGGCTTTTGTCCGCGGACTGATGGGGATCTTTCAGGATAACCTCAAACGACTGGCCTGATGCTCGCTTGTTCAAACCCTTCACCTCCAGGTCTGACACAGCCGGAATCCAGATCCACACACCAAAGGTAAAACACAAGTTAGTAAGGTGCAACTTTTTTCTTTTAGCTTGCTTGAGTTTTCATATATCAGAGGGGTTGGCGATACATCTCTTGAATATGTCTCAGCATTGTTGTCAGAAATACTGTATTTGGGGGTGCCCTGGTGGCTGAAGGGTTTAAGATGTAGACCATGAACCGCAACATTCCTGGTTCATATCCTGTTGGGGACCTTCACTCCATCTCATTACCCATCTCTCTATTCCCTCCTCATTTTCTGAATGTCTCTCGTCATTCAATTATCCAATAAAGGTATAACAATTTAACAAATTTACAAAATTTGGTACATGGGAAGAGCTGTGATGAGAAAGGAGCTGTGAATATGGTTGGTTGTAAATGGACGAGAGTATAACCTTTACAATGTGCAGTAGAGCAAAGACATGTTTCCTTTTATGGACGAAAAGTCATTTTGCTCTGTGCTTTCACACAGAAACCTGCTGTGAGTATTTGTCCCATGAAATTTAAAAGGATTTTCTTTTTCTGAAATAAGTAAATGCTGACAAAACTGCTCCATACTCAAGTTTCGAGTTCACAGTTCTCATTAGATTTATCTGATCATGCAGATCGAAAAAGATCTATGAAAGAAAAAGTGTGTATCCAAATGAGTGAACTTTATATATGAATATTAACATCATATTCTTGTAATCTTGTCTTTTGTTGCACTTTGTATTGCCTAGTTTACAGGATATGCCTTTTTCTTTTCTTTTCTTTTTTTTACTGTATGTTAGCATTAACTAGTTCCAACAATCACAGGCTTATTGAAAAGACTGTCCTGTGGTGTGATGGTCTTTCTGAAGAGAACACAGTGATATTTGTTTCTGACCTTGGCAGGGACTTGATTCATGGAGGATGGCTTATCAGCTGTTGCCCCTGGCGATGATTCAAGCATTTGAACTGTCCCTCTCTGCTAGATTTCATGTTACTTGAAATGTAGTTTTTTTAAGAGTAGCTTATGAACAAGGCATATGCACAGAAAACATGTGCTTAGTTTGGATGATAAACTAAGATGCAGCCAACAAAATGTATTGTTTGTGTTTTACCAAGTTAATTTCTTTTCTCACTCACAGTGATTGTAGTTGGTACAGGATGCAAATTAGATTGTGTTTAGGCCCTGATAAAAGCTTTTGAATTTTCATGATCAGTTAATACAACCTGAAAAACAAATTAAAGTTCATAAACTAAATGGATAACCTCAGCATTTTTCAACCTGCACCCTATTTCCCTGTGTAAATTGGTCAAAGAGACGGATGTCGACAACAGTTTTTGAAATTGGTACAGTATTGAGCGAGCAGGCAGCGGCTGGCAGCCGTGGGATGGGCTGTAATGGAAGCACACTGGGCAATTGAACACTGTCATTCTAGGTCCATTATTATTTTTGACACAGACAGGCTTCCATTGTTTTTTAAGCATCTGAAGTGTCTCCTTACCTTTCACCAGAGATATTGGATAAAGGAGATACCCCACCGTAGGCTTATCCAATGTTAAGAAAATGGTTACTCTTCCTGTCTCCTAAGTGGGTGTGGTTAGCTCTCCCTCCAATCAGAGCCTGTTCTCCCTCAACCCCCACCACCACCTGTTGAACAAGTCTCCTACAGGGGCGTGGCGCTGACGTCACTGAATCAGGAAGTGAGCTGAGTGGATTATCTCGCTTTATCCAATATCTCTGCTTTCACTTGATCCAGTCTGTTTGTTATTACCTTGTTAAGCAGAAGTCTCATTATGAAATATCATGAGATGTCACAATATTGCACTTGTTGCAGGAAGACAACAGTGAAAATGTGTGTGAGATCTGGAGAGAGCATAATAATCAGAGTATAGTGTTATCTAAATAATATTCAATATCATGGATGATTATTTACCTAATTTCAATAATGTGGATGTGGTTTTTGAATTTGATCATTACCAATATTTACATGTGCGGGGGTATACGGATGAAGAGCGGATGAAGAGAGAGAGATAGATAGAGAGAGAGAGAGAGAGAGAGAGAGAGAGAGAGAGACACCAGGCTGCAGAGTGGGAACCAAATGCTGCATGTCACACAGCTCGAGAGACTGATGGTGGGTGCTGTGACCCTATGATCACAGTTTATGCATTTGTGGGCTGTGCTGACAAAATGAGAAGCTACACTTAGGGCAGATTTCACAGAATATCTTTGTTGAATATGGAAACCCTGAAGTTTTGGCTAGCTGCGTGTAAAATGGATCTCAACACTACTGTCCAGTGTCCATACACTGCACATGCAGACCTGCAGGTCTGCAATGGCCACCAGAATGACTACTGTCTGTCAAAGAGTAGAAGAAATACGATTGTTTTCCTCAAGAACACTGCTGTTCCAAGAGCGGATTTAGTGCTGCAGATGAGTGGAGGTATGGTAATACTATTAGCTAAAGTTATTACACATGAAAGGATAACAGCAAAAACAATCAATCAATAAACCATTAGGAGGTGCAAAATATCAAGTGATTCAACAAACAAATTTATATTTAAGGAAACTATACAGATTGATGACCCATTTTCATCAGCTGACATTCATAATAAAGTGATATCAACACGCTGACACTATCTATGCCACAGTGTGTGTGCATGGTGTAAAAATATATTTATGCTTCGGTATTATACGACCTATAGTATATTTTTGTTATATTTCATGCCTACATTTGCTCTTCCTTTTCATCAAGGGGATACCTACTGGCTATGAAGGACCATGGTAATGTTAGTTTTTGCAGGAGACCCTATACACAGTCTTTGCTAATAAGATAATCATCTGTTATTCCCACAGAGGGGAACTTTACAATTTTACAATAGCAAAGGGGATAATGTTATAACAAGAAGCATCGGCAGGTTTTAATGAATATGTAAACAGTAAAATAAGAACCTCCTCTGCCTTTTTTTCTCTCTCTCCTCATCTGCTCTTCATCTGTATACTCTGTCACACTTCAGACACTTGCAATAACCATATGAGCCACTCTGTGTCAAAAATAACCACTTCTAATGGACATACAGTGATGGTGTTAAATTTCCCCGTGTGCTTCCATTGCAGCCTGTTGCACGGCTCCTGGCCACTGCCCGCTCGCTCAATACTGGACCAATTTCAAAAACTGTATGTCACATCATTCCCTTTGACCAGTTTACACAGGGGAATAGGGTCCAGGTTGAAAATGCCTAAGTTATCCTTTAATCTTTTGAAAAAAGACACCAGGACATTTGGATTGATGAAAGCAGGGGTGGACTGGCCATATAGCATACCGAGCAGTTTCCTGATGAGCCGGTGTGCCTTTTGGACCAACACACCTGTCTTTTTTTTCTTCCTTTTTTTTTTTGACCGGCCAATAATACAGGTGGTCCGGCCCATTGGTATATTTTCTTAATTAAAACTGGGCTGGCCCAATCACATTTTAAGCTCCTCCCTCTTTGGGCTTACTGCCCTCTTGAAACTAAAAAATGTGCCAAAATGGATAATACAAAACACAAGGAAGGCTGCTCAGAGTAATTCAGTCTCATCTCTCCCTCTACTCTCGCACTGTGAGCAGGCAGGCAGGCAGGAGAGCGTTTATATATATAAATATATATATCTATATCTAAATAGATATAATTCAGAATGTAGGAAATTAAGTGCTTGACACTCAAATGTGCATATGATATAATATGTATATATGACTTATTTTTGTGTGATGGATTGCGGTGGGCCGGTCTGGGTCACATTGCCAGGGCCAAATTTTTGTCCCAGTCCACACCTGGATGGAAGAGGCAATAAATCAACTGCTTTATAAGGATGTACAGTACATGGCACAGTTTGTCAGGCAGACAGACAGGCGGGCACATAGACTGACAGTCAGATATACAGACAGACTGACCTCCATACTGATAGAGGCTGTTGGGATGAGGCTGTGTGTAGAAGCAGGAGCAGAGTAGAGACAGCATGGACATCTCCTTGAGCTTGTCTGCATAGGCTGTTAAAGAGAGATAGAAGAACACATGTTAGATTTGAAACCATAAGTCTAAAACACTTTGTCAAACAAAACACAGAGCTTTCACCCTGGAGGCTGCAGTTTATGTCCCGTGTGAAACCAAAACTCAGTCTCGGTTTAACATAATGTTGCATCATTTACATGCAGTCGTTGCGCACTGACATCCCCCACATGACATATTTGTGTTACATTATGTTACTTAACAAACATACTTATTTTAACCCAAAGCATGATCTTTTTTCTATACCTAACCAAGTAGTTTTGTTGCCTAAACCTAACTGTGACCATCTCACAACATGAACCATTGTTAAAATGTGACTAATCTGTGCATATAGATAAACTAAAGGGTGCCCTGTGTGGCACTATTGAACGCCAAAGGTGTGTCGGTATTTGACAACCTGGGAATGAGAGTGGGTTGGCTTCTCCATATCACTGTATGTATCGTCACAACCCAGTATCACTCCTGACTTGTTAAATACTGATGCTTGGTCAGTGGTGCTTGGTGTCAGATACCAACACACACAGAGGCACCCTTGAGCAGGAGAGCAGATCATGGTATGAGGCACACCAGCTGGCGGCATTTTTTGACACTCCGATCAACTGCCGTAGTATTAAGACCGAGAAAGTCCGCAATAGGGTGGGAGGGAGTGGAGGTAGATGGGTGAAACAAACTCCAGAATTTTACCTTGAAGACAGCTGTTTGTGCCCCGTGTGAAACAAAAAGTCAGTGGAGTTATTTCTATAACATAGTGTGCTAGTATGTGTAGCATACTATGCTAGTGATATATGTCATGTGATGTAGCATATGTCAACATATGTATGTAAAATACAGTACATCTGGTGATGTTATCTGAAGTTATTAACAGACATACTTATTTAAGCCAAACCTTGATGTATTTTTTTTTTGTTTTAAATCAAACCATGTACTTTTGCTGCCTAAACCTGAGGAAGTAAATCTAAAAACAAATTATTTTCCTGCCTATGTTCTAGCTTTATTTTGAAAACAAAAAAGACTATGCATTAACCAGCAGGAACTGTACATTTCTTGTGGAAACAGATATTTATTTTGAAAAGACACAATGCATGTAATGAGTGTAAATTGACTTGCTGTGCTTGAAAATCCAAAAGTGATGCTAGAGGGGTATCTAGAGTTTCACAGTTTGACATGTAGGGCCACAGACCAAGAGTCCATATGTTTTACAAACTGGTAGTGAAAATGTGTTGATTATCAAGATCGTGGAACTTCTGAGGTAGTAACTGACACCTCTTTTATCCTTGCAACACCTTCCATTAAAGCAATAATATGCGATGAGTGTCCTAGTACACTGAAATAACAGTGGACAGGGACAAAAGGGACAAATCCATCGTACCTGTTGTTATTCCTTGTTACAACTGAGGATCACTACAGTTCAACGGCAAAGTGTAGAAAATACAAGCACATCTGTTTAATCAGACGCATGTGAGACAGTTGACTGAAAAGCAGAAATGCCTCTTGTATAGGGTTAAAAGCTATGCGCCCCCACGGTAAACCACACACAGGCTGATTAGACTGCAGGTCAGTGTGGGTGTGTTAAGACTGATATGATTTGATTGATATGTTCTTTACTCTCCTGTTAGCTTTGCTGCACCTGCTATGGTGGGACAAAATTAATCTTAATCATTCTTATTACTTCATTAATCTGGTGATTTCACATAGAGTAATTCCCATCATAGCTCAACCACAGAAACTGCATTCGACTCAAAAGTATAGCTTCCATTTAAGGCTTTAAACCAGGGGATACACATTCAAAAGGAAGATCACTGTAATATTTACCACCGTTGTCTGCTAACCACAGTCTCAGATACAAATTGCCCACTGTGTGCACCTCACTCACATCATCAGGCCTACAGAGTCATACATGTGTACTGACAGTGGCTGAGCATATAGACAAACACTTCATGTGTCTTCAAATGAGAAAGCTATACACTATATACTCTGTAGTACGCATATTGTTTGTAAATGTATCTATGTTCTATAGACACACATAATGCACACTGTGGAAACAGATTTTAAAAACCTGCCCTGTGTCCTGTTGGGACTGGGCCACTGAACAGTTTACAAGTTAGAATTCCCTACATGTTCCTCCACAGGGCCATTTTAAGAGCTCTCTCTCATAACATGCTGTCCTCTACCTGAACAAGAAAAGTGCTCTCAGTGCAGGTCTCCGCCAAGGGTGTCTGGGTGCATGTGGGTGGGGAACAGGCAGTGCAGGGCAGGCTGTGTGTCCAGCATGTATGCGGGACAGTGGTGGAAAGAAGGGGAGACAATATGCAAGTTACGTTATCAAGGTGTTACCTCTATATAGACTGTCTACTCTAGACAGTCTAGACAGTCTATATGGGAGACAAACCTCAGATGCAATGTCCAATAAAAACTCTCCCTCCTTTCTTCTTGCCTCCAAAACAAAGAAGATTTGAGTCTCACTCAGCTGTCCCTTCCATCTCCCTTGCAGTCAAGATGGCAGTGAAGAGAAAAAAAAGGGAATTATTCATCTTGTATCATAAACCAGATGCTCTGGTTTGAAATGAGACCAAACTTTTTTATGGATGTCAGTTTTTTTTAACCACAACAAAGGCTCAGATGTGGCCTGCAACAACAATTGCCAGAAATACTTGCGGCCCCCTACACACAGGTTAGGAGGAGTGAGGAGCCAGCAGTCAGTGAAGGCATAAAACCAACACATTCTCATGCCAACCTTGTCATATATCAACATTTGGTCATGGACTCTCCATGTCAAGATATGATGTGCAAGGTACCCTTGGTACCCTGTACCAACATCAGTCTGTTACATGCATTGTCTGTTTTCAAAATACACACCTGTTTTCAAAGGAAATGTATAGTTTACATACAGTCTCCTTCAAAATAAATGCACTGTGTTGGTACAATACTGTGAATTGACATTTTTTTTTACTTCAACAACAAATGTGCATGGTTATGTTTAGCATACAGTCATAAATGTGCACACAAAATATTAGGCTGACACGTCCAGTAGTTTCTGAGATTAGGTGGGACAGACATATACACACACAGTGTAGTGCTGTTAGAGCACACCAGTACATCACTTTGTTTTTCTCCAAGTGAGGAAGTAGAATATTTGCAGTTTGCATAATCTGGTTGAAATTTGTAAACATTTTATATAGCAAGCGCACTAGAGTGGCTAACTTGCCCTGACTGAGTGGTTAACTTCTGCTAAATGAGTGGCTAACTTTTGCTGGTCAAGTAGGTGGCAGCACAAAGGGAAGCCAAACACTGTATATCTGCACACACTGCGATGACACACAGCTGGTTGAGTCTCCCTTTATATTAAGTGTCTTTTGTACCGATTGCCAGTGACGTGGTGGTTCATTTTTAAACTGAGATCTGGTTAAGCTTTAGCCTCTATCTTTATCTTTTTAACCTGTTTTTGCTGATGAGTGAGTTTGACATCATGGATATATCCTTCAAACATATTTTAGACCCCTCGGTCTGCTTCTCTCTGAAATCACTTTTTCATTTTTCCAAAAAAATTGATAATATTTCTTCAGGGAGTGCAGTTAGTTACAGTGTGGGCTCCATGCTCACGACAGCTTGACAGGTTATCACAAAGGGGCAGGGCTTAGCGAAGGGTCAGTTGCTACAACCACTCCCCAGAACATACAATTTCATTCCTGACTAGGGGCATAGCACCAAATTCTGTGCCCTATGCATAAGCAGTAAATGGACCTGCACTTGTATAGTGTCTTCAAACCACTAAAAGTGCATGTCACATTCACACGCACATTCACACACTACTGGCCAAGGCTACCATAAAAGGTGCCACCTGCCACTCAGTTAATACATATCCATACACTGGTGGAATAGCCACTGTCCCAGCCATCACAGTTCATTATTTGCCCAAGGATACTTTGACATGTGGACTGAAGAAGACAGAGATTGAACTGCCAATCCTCCAATTACTGGACGACCCACTCTATCTCCTGAGCCACAGCCAACCCAAGGTAATACTCTCACTATTGATAAGTACATCAAAAACCACTACAAAAAATCTGAACTATTCAGTCCAGTGGAGTTGCCCATCTGGCACATATGCCAAAAAAGTCTCTGGCTTCCTGATTCAATCTTTCTCCAGCAGACCCCACCCACAAGTTCCTGTTCGGCTCATAGACTTAACATTGAGATGACATCACAGATTTCTAAAATATTCCCGCTGCTGGAATAAAGTTTTATAAATATATAACCACAATTGCTCAAACATTTAGAATAAAAAGATTTATAATTGACCTTGTTTGCAGTTGGAGGTGCCCTGTCTACATTTTTACAGACGTCTCTTTTATAATGGTGGCCTGTAGGGAATATGCTTGTGATACCACAAGTGGCCACTGGGAAAAAAATTGCCACAAGGCTGAGCAGCTTTCCTGGGTACCTGGTGTGGAGACAAAGCCCAGTGCCATGCCCCTGCTCCTGACTCCATTAAATCTTAATTTATTTATTAAAATCTTAATTTATTTATTATTATTATTAATATTATTTTAATCTTTAACTCTTTAATTTTTCCTAATCTCCACAGCATGGGCCAGATCCTCAAAAGGATTGCACTGCTTTTGCGACCGCTAAACCTGTGCAAATGAGAGAAAAAAATAGCGTGCAATCCACAAAGCACACGCAAAGGGTGAAATGCATGCAAACACACAAACTGCACTGCCACTCCTAGCTGCCCCTGTCCAATTTGCATGCATGTAAATTAGGGAATATTCATAAATTCTGTGCAAAATTGCCCCCTTCTTATGCAAATAAGCCTCATTGCAAATACCACCTGATCCACAAAGACCAGCGCTAATTGCCACAGGCAGTAAAGCGGTGCTATTTAACGCCAGTGAGACCCGTGTATTAAATCCGCGCAATTTCTCTTTCTCCCTCTCTCACTCTCTCTCTCATGCAAAATGATTGCAAATTTCACTCAGTT